GGTGCAGTGGAGTGCGGCGTACCCCTGAGCTCGGCCGCAGCCTCCACGCCAGTGGGACCACCTCCGACCACAACGAAGTGAAGAAGTCTCTTCTTCTCCTCCTCTGATGTGGTGGGCAGAGAGGCGAGCTCGAGGCAGTCGAGCATCTTGTTGCGGATGGCCATCGCATCATCAATCTCCTTGAGGAAGAGACAGTTTTCCTCCACACCGGGCGTGCCTGAGAGGCAACAACAACAAACATCAAAACACACATGACGCGAAGTAGAGTAAGAAGCGATGTGGACTTCATTCGCATTCGTGCAGTGGTGAGCTTCAGAGAGTAGCCGGTACCGAATGTGTTGTTGATAGCACCAACAGCGACCACCAGCTTGTCGTACGGCAGGGTGAAATCGCGCGCCGAGTCATCGAGACCGGGAGTGCTCACTGATACCCGGGCATGGGGTTTAGTGACTTAGTGCGGGAATCCAGCGTCTAAAGGCGGTATGAGAGGCCTACCGTGGCAAGAAACCGTTTTGTTGGTGGGATCCACATCGGTCGCCACAGCTTCAAAGTAGTCAACATCAGCGTGGCTGCGGCGGCAGTACTTTCGGATGGGCTCGATGATGCTGTGAGTGCATGAGTACTGAGCACTCTTCACGGACCGCAAGCATTCAAAACGGAGCGAGGGTGCATTGAGCGGTGGGAGTCAACGTACGCTTTGGGTTCGAGCGTGCCCACGGTGACCGAGGGAAGAAGCGGGGTGAAGAGAAAATAGTTGCGCGGAGACACGATCGTGACGTCGTACTTGCTCGTGTCCAGCTCTCGCACCACGCTCAGCGCGCCCCAGCCTGCGAGCGCAACAGCGCGTGAGGACCAACAACATCAAGTCTTCTTGAGGCCATGCAACGGCTCTACGAGCCGAAAGTCCCAGCTGAGAACGAAGAATGCGCACCGGAGCCGAGGATGACGAGCTTGGGCTTGGGTTGGCTCTCCGCAGCGAACACGTGTCCCTCTGTGAGGTCGCGGTCGGGTGAGAACAAAAGAACATCGCCGTGGAGTTTAGGACGCCAAAACGCTCCGGAGTGCCGCCAGTTCCCAGCACCAGAGACACCACGGCCGGAAGGGCGAGAGCGTACGGAGGAGATAGAGGCCACCGCCAACGCCCACCGCGGTGATGGCAGCCACCACGGGCCACCTGAAAGCGGACTGGCGGCTGTTGTTGTGGTGCAGTTGAGAAAGGAGGAAAGATACAAGCACACCGCTCAGACAGGCAGGCAGAGAGCATCACTGAGGGCTACCTGGCAGAGCCAGCCGTGGAAGTGGTGGACGAGTAGAGGCGTCCACCTGAGGGCACTTGGAGTTGTTTGCTGCCATGAGAGATGGTGGTGCGAGAGGCGAAGCATGCCCGCTGCATGCCTCGGGTACTGGCGACCTTGTTGGAGGAACGCAGCATTGTGTTGTGTGGTTATGTTGTTGGGGCGACAAGGAGACAGCAAAGGTCTTGGCGAGAAGAGTGGGGTT